CTGAAGTCGGACGCTTAACCGACTGCACCACCCAGGCGCCCTATAGGTATGTCTTTTATTGCTGACTACTGGACATTAATTTTGACTTACTTGGTATCAGATTCTTATCATGAGGCATTAATCCCTATTATGACATTATGCCTAAAAGAAAATTAGCTTACCTGATAATAACACACTTTAAAAAGTGATTTCTAAGGTTTTTTTTTTTAAATGTTGATTTATTTTTGAGAAGGAGAGCGCGCACAAGCAGGGGAGGGGCGGAGAGAGAGGGAGACACAGACTCCGAAGCAGGCTCCAGGCTCTGAGCTATCAGCCCAGAGCCCGATGCGGGGCTCGAACCCATGAACCGTGAGACCATGACCTGAGGTGAAGTCAGATGGTCAACTGACTGAGCCACCCAGGTGCCCCGATTTCTAAGTTTTAATGCTAATTGCGATGCTCTTGGATGGAGGTAACAGAATATTCCACTCCATCACATTCAGTGACTTAAGCAAAAGGTCCAGGGACTTATTCCAGCAGCTCAAGCGACATAGGCAGTTGTGTATCTCTTCCTTCCTTGGCTCTGCTTTTCAGGTTGGGCATCACTATTAGGAGGCTCTCCCTTTGTGATCCCAGATAGCTACCAACAGCACCAGGACTACCTCCCTTATTCAAGAGCAGCAGGCAGACAGTTTACTTTCCGGATACCTCTAGCAAAGACTTAGAACCGAGTCTCAGCCCTGACCGACCTGCGTTACCCATTCTCAACTCCATCATTACGGTCAAAGAGTTGAATATGCTGCTGACCTGAACCAGTCAGGGACCAACCCTCTGTAATCCACATAACTGGAAAATTTGGAGGACTGTTAGAATGGAGGAGATGGAAATGGATGTGGGGAAGGCAACCACAAATGTCTGGCTTAGAAATTTAGAGGAATAGGAACCTTAGAAATCAGCTCCCTCCATATTTTAAGTAGATTGTGCATTCATTCATGTGTCACTCATTCAGCCAATACATATTAAGTCTTTGCTTTAAGCCAAACACTGTGCTTTGAGTTGTGAGGCCAGCGGAATCGATCAGCCTGGGTTTTGAGTCAGAATCATGATGTCACATGATTTTCCTTAACTACCTGAATTCTCCGCTCCCCTCCCTTTCTCGGAACCTAATGCTACCACTTAACTGGGCTTGTCTTGGGACAAGAATAATCTTGTCCCAAAGTATCATGTATCTGCAGCTAGTCCTTGATATTCACAATCAGACCCCAAAACAAAGCATTGGCGAAGTCATCAAGAAAGCGTTGGTTTCCATTTTCGTAAAAAAAAAAAAAAAAAAAAAAAAAAAAGCTATCTTTAAGTGCACTTAAAAAAATAACAATGAAGCCACGTTCTAAACTTTAAGCCGGAGCCACATGAACTGTATGCCCTAAGCAGACAAGTTCACAAGTCCATCTCCCTGAGTATACTCTGAGAGACTTTCTTTTCTAAGAGGCCAAGTGCCAATTAGACAGCAGATTCTGGTGCCGACAGCTCTCCCAGGAGACCCTCGCGGGCAGTAGGTCAAGCAGTCACAGCTTGTGCCTGTTTTCCTAAAGAGGAGTTGAGAACCTCAAAACCCTGACCCCCTGACCCCCTGCATCGGAATTGCCTGGGGAGAATATTTAGAATAACAGATCCTCAGCCCGAACCCCCAGATTTCTGAATCAGAAGAGTTGGTGGGGGAAATCTGCAATTTATCATACCCCGTCGTTTTTTTCTTTTTCACACTTACACCTGAGACCCTCTCATCATGAGGCTACATAACCTCATCCCCGGGTTTCTCACTGTGCCATTAGACAAGAATAGAGCTCGGTCCACATTAAGTCTGGACATTCTGCCAGTGAGGCAGGTTGGAGGTGAGGTTAAGCCAAGACGACCTCTAAAACACCTGCTGTTTTCTCACTCGCGCCCATGAGTTTTTCCCATGAAGAATGGGAAGGACATGGGCGGTGAGCAGGGTGGCCCTGGCTCAATGTCACAAGCAAATGGCTGGCTTGGCCTCCTGGGTCTTCCTGCCCTCTCAATAAAGAAGAAGCTGTTAAGAGGCCATTCCTGCAGGGTCTGTAAGGAGCCAATGGGTGTGAACAGGGCTTCAGTGTCACCCAGGCCACAGGCCTTCCCTTGGCATCCCCTACAAGTGGGGTGATTACTGTTAGAGAATGAGCCCACTTTTCTTATTGAAGAAAAAGTAAAACATTCTTTCAGTGAGTCCTGGATTTCTCGATGTGCTTCACGTTGCTTGGGAAGCAAGGACTCCTCTTCTCCGCTTCCATGGACCCCAGTGGCCATGCCCCCTGCCAAACAGCTGGTTCTAGTGCGAAGAATTCTCTCAGGTCCTGTAGAGTGCCCAGGGCTGGGGAGTGCCTAGAACATATTTGGAACATTGCTATAGCAGCAAGTTCCATCGTATCACCTCCTAGCCCACAGAACCGCCCAAGAAGTGACATACGTTATCGTGTTTTGCTTGTGAAATGTGTTTGTTGAACAACAACAAAAAAGATCCAAGATCTGACACTTTCAGATGATGTGACATGTTCCAGTTTGTGTTAAATATGCCTCAGAGGTTTTTTTCTTCACGGATGGTTGTTTGGTTGTAGCTAAGCTTGAAAACGAGCACCTGAAACCCTTGCTCGAAGCTAAGATAGGATTTAGGGCCCATTTTTTTATAGGGCTACCATTGCTGTTGGTCCCCATCTCATTATCTTTATAGAGACACATTATCCAGATGGGAAACAGGCTTCTGTGCCTATTTGCCAACTTTTGTTGCTTGGAACAGCACCGAACAGATCGGTTCCTGAGACCTGCTCACTGAGAAACAGCGATCGGTCAGTGATGTGTGCTGCCCGGGGACCAGGAAAAAGACCCGGCGGTTCCTGGCTTGAGGGTTTGCAGGGACTCCCTCAAAGTCGCCCCTGGCTCAGACTGCTCCTGGTTTTGAGATTGGTGAACTATCGCATTGCTCTTTACTAAACCTCAAAGGGTCCTTAGAGGGCACAGCGACCGACTTTACCCTGTCTAGAATGTTCCTTCACCTGTATCCTCTGTGAGTGTTAATGGCGTCTCAATCTCTCATGGTTTCAAGGTCCTTCCCTGCATTCAGTGTATCATTAAGCGCTGTTAGTTCTCCTCTGCAATCCATTTACCTTCTTGTCTGACTTTCCACCAGAGGGTTGTCTTAACGCACATTTTCACGATCTCCTTTACGTGGGACTAAAATACTGTTCTCTCTGGATTCCCTGCCTCCGAGGCCCCTCCTCTGATCCTCCTTTCAGTGAGGCAGAGGGCAGTGGCCCCACTCATGGCTGGGTATTAGAGTCTCCAAAGAGCTTTTATAAAAGAAAAACAAACTGGGGGGGCTTTTCCCCAGAACGTCAGTGAGCATTGCCAGTGCTCAGGCCCTCTCCACCTCCTGCTTTAGGGAACTACTGGCGAGGCTGAAAAATCCCAAACCTTGGGATCTGGAAATCGGGCTTTAAATCTCAATGTCGTCATATTCTCTGTGTGACCTGGGGCTTCTTCAAAGCTTGGCATCTCCACTACTTTCTCAGTAAGGGTAATAGTTACCTTGGAAGTTTGTTGGGAAGATTAAATGGGAAGATGTAGATAAGGCGTCTGGCACATAGTAGGTGTCCCTAATTTGGCAACTTGTATCTTCTGGATAGACTTATCCTTATTATGCTGAAACAGACCAGATCATGTTCTCTCCCTGCTCAAAAATGTAACCGTCACCCCGCTTTCAGACAGAAGAACATCCATGCTCCTTAGCGTGACCTTTAAGATTTAGCTTTATGTGGGGGCGCCTGGGTGGCTCAGTTAAGCGTCCAACTTCGGCTCAGGTCATGATCTCGCGGTACGTGAGTTCGAACCCCACTTCGGGCTCTGTGCTGACAGCTTGGAGCCTGGAGCCTGCTTTGGATTCTGTGTCTCCTCCTCTCTCTACCCCTCCGCTGCTCACACCCTGTCTCTCTCTCTCTCTCTCAAAAATAAATAAACATTAAAAAAAATTTTTTTTAAAGATTGAGTTTAAATCTTTAAAACTCAAGAGAAGGGAGTACCAAATGCCATTTGGGTACCTTGGGAAACAGCAAGCCAGGTGGAAGGTATAGCCAAGTGCAAAGGCCCTGAGGCATAGAAAAACAAGCAGGGCTCTGGACTCAAAAGGATAGCCCGATGCCCCAGGGCAAATATTTAACCGTCCTGTGCTTGTTCCCTCATCTAAAAAATAAGAATGATAATAATGCAGCATTCTTTTTTCTGATTTCTCCTGAAGCTTCAATAAAATATTGTCCCTGGCACATGATAGGCACTCGATATGCTGGTTCCCTTCCCTTCTCCCTTTCTCTCCATTTATCATAAAAGCCTCCATATAATGGTGACTGTGGTATATGGCCTATAGCAAATGTTCAAATATTTGCTGATATGGATTACAAAGGCACACTTAGCAACAAATGCTCCTGTCTTACAACATGTATACTTCCTTTTGTCACCTCCAAACGAGGCATTGAAAATGGTGTGCAGCCAGCCGTACCGCCACGTATAACTGTTGGCTTCAAGAGGCATTGGCAATGAGAAGAGAGGAGGGGGCAGGATTCTCTGGATGTGGCTTCTGCAATTCCCCTTGGGTCTAACGCTCCGCGATTTTAGGAACTGGCCCTTTTGGGTCCCGTTACACTCATTAATAGCAGCACTGTTGGAAACCAGGTAGTAGGTATTGGGGCTGATTCAAGAGGTATAAAGGATTCCACGCAGCCTCTCCCATGATTTAAGGAGAGCATGGGCATTACTGGGATGGTCAGTGGAACGTCCACAATTATTTGTGTATCTTTGGCCAATTCTTCCTCGTGTTTTCTCTTTGATGAGAAGCCTTCTCTGTCTCTATCTGCCATACATGGGTACAGTTGTCCTTAAGTGACACAGGCATTGTCATTAGCCTGGGCAACTCAGCTTGGCAACGTGGCACGTTAAAACATCTATACGAGGGGCGCCTGGGTGGCGCAGTCGGTTAAGCGTCCGACTTCAGCCAGGTCACGATCTCACGGTCCGTGAGTTCGAGCCCCGCGTCAGGCTCTGGGCTGATGGCTCGGAGCCTGGAGCCTGTTTCCGATTCTGTGTCTCCCTCTCTCTCTGCCCCTCCCCCGTTCATGCTCTGTCTCTCTCTGTCCCAAAAATAAATTAAAAAACGTTGAAAAAAAAACAAAAAACAAAAAAAAAAGTCTATACGAGGGTTAGATAGTTTCTTCTTTGTGCAAAAGCTGGGCAGTCTACACTTAATTAGGTAAGAAAATAACCACGTTGAGCTGCAGGCATTGAGAAGCCATAATTACAGAATACATCCCATCATCTCCATCGCTGTTTCCACATGACCATCTGCATCTCAGTTAAAATTTCTTTTTTTATTTTTAGACCTAAGAATAGATCAGAAATTTTTGCTTATCTTACTACATTTTCTAGAAATAGTTTACGTGACTGAATTGTAACTTTTCATACATTTATATGGTCTAAAATTAATTCTTCCTTTTGCAAGATTCTCAGGATAATATCAGCTTGGCTTTCAAAGAGGTAGAGCTCACAGGTACCTGCATAGGGTAGTTTCCTTCTTTTTTACTTTTATCTTTTTTTTTT